CGATTTGTATGGGGACGGAATGAAAAATGTTATAGTAAGACAAAGCAACGAGCACTTCATTACTTCATCATTCTGGAGTTTTATTGTTTCGAAGTACAAAACGCTGTGCGTTTTTGTAGCGTTTCCATAGTTCTAGGCTTGAAAATTCTTGTATTTGTGCAACAGTCGACAACCCTGCCCCGCCTTTTGCCAGACTTCATGGCTAGCGGCACCCAGATTGACTGCCTTTTAGTCCCCTTTTCGAATGTCATGAATAGGAATCTTACCTCTCTTTTCTCTGAGACATATTCCATGATGAATTCGTGGTGACTCAGGGTAAAGATGGGTCTTTGTCGCGGCTCAAATACGTTCGGGTGTTGTTTTAGATTTTCCTTTGGATTTCATGCTTGATTTTGAGGTGAAAGGTGAATTGCGATGAATTAGGGGCGCAGAGGGAACACCTAGATAAAATTTGCCTTTTTCCGAAGCCTGTTCTCATTCATAGTCGTAAGAATCATCGTGCGATTGATGTCTATTGATCAAAGTTCGTGGTGTTAAATATTTGTAGCATCAAAATTGCTAATTTACGAAATGACAAAATCGCGAATTCTGCCAGTTATTTTTAATTGATTTTTTGAATGGTTTGTTGGGCTTTGGACGCTTTTCTATCTGGAACGTCGTCCAAGTAATGAGAGGTTTCTGTTGGGCTATCTCATCAGCTGATGTTCAAGTCTAACATGTCGAATTTAATGACCGCTATCATTCAGGAGAGTACGTACCGCAGTCAGCCATAGGGAGCCAATGTCAGTTTACGTCATCTCACAGCCGAGAGTTAGTTTATGTTTGAATTCAACAATATGATGGTGTATTGTAAGGAATATCGTTAACAGCGCGATGAGTCCCCTTCCACTAGACGCTTTGTCTTCCGTTTCTAGCTGAGTCGTAAATCCAGACTTATCGACATAGGCCTTGAATAAATGCGAGTAGCGTAAAAAAATGTAACGTTTTTCTAGCCCTTCGCTAGTCGTGCTACCGCTACTGTCCACAATCAGAAACATGTGGTGATGACCTCGAGTTGTCTATTTCAAGAGGGATTTTTGATGCTGATGGATGTTTTATTCCGCGCCGTGTTTCTGCGCTTGAATTTACTACTCTGTCAAGTGCGGTAGACAAATTTGTCGACCAAACTATTTTACCCCTTTCAGCCCTGAACAAACTTTTCAGCGAGAAATATTTTTTCTCCCTGTCGTGGCGGGCGGGTGCAACAGCGGGGCGATGACTGTTTCAGAGCAGCAACGGGGAAGGGAGAGGTTGTCTGCGACGACCTCCAGCAGATAGTGGTAGAAATACGTTGTCGCGCCGGTAACGCAGACCTCTGGTGACGGCAATTCTACCGCCAGGGGAAAGGGTTAGTGTGGGATCGCATTGTTACTCAGGAAGTTGGGGAAAGCTAGAGAGGAAATCTGCACGCATTGGATCGTATCCAAGAGGTGAAGGAAATCTATGTATCTTTTGCTTCCGAAAATCAGGTGCTTGTCGAGTGCAGACCACACAGCTCAAGTGACGACGACCTCCACAAAATGTACGTTTTCTGCCAATAGAAGATAAGCTGGTTGCAGCATTTTCTTCAGCTGTTCTTTGACACTATCACTTACAAACTTAACTAATCACTATGGGCCACTAGTTATAGATTTAATTGGAGGCGGCCGTTACTTACGGTGTGTGGTCTGCAGTGGACGCGCACTGGTTCTTGGAAGCAGAGGGTGCGTATAAAGGGATGGTAGTTCAGGCATGGTCACAGCCCCTATTAGTGGCAATAATAGCTCGAAGGTCACGTGCATTTATGAATCCTTTCTGGGTGTGCTCTTCCCTTTCTATTCCATGAACACATAACTGTTACAGGCTCTGGTACAGGCTGCCTATTTCTCAAAAACAGAGTGGGGTAGCTGGGAGCTTGAGCAAATTTGGAGATGTCATTTATTGAAGGTAGGTTGTGCAACTATACCCCCTAACGCGCTGGGAATGTGGCAAACCTTCTCCCAACACCCTTTCACTGAGTGACACTCCAAATCAACTCCGCCTTCCAGCACTCACTGCCTCTGCAAACACTTTCCTCTGCTAAACTGGTGCTAAGTGCTTGAAAATGAAAGTGGAGGTGTGAAGTGGACTTGAAGAAGTGAGGAACAATTGAAGAAGATTCCTGAAAACACCCTGAATTAGTGCCCTCCTTATCAGCAATGTTCGACGGTAAGATGGGGAAAGCATGTACATATTTGGACGACTTTCACGGACTTTTGACTTTAAGTCGTGCTTCGATTGATCGATGTTTGCTAATTACGGCTATTACTTTATTCTTCAGTTTCGTGTTTTGCTATACTGTAGTGGTGCAACCGGATATCCTGGTGCTGGTAAAGTGGCGGTTAAGTGCGGGAGGTGGGATTTTGGGCGATGCGTATACTGCGGAGAAAGGGTTCATCGCCCTTGCCATGCAATTTCCACGATAGTGGTATATCGTGGACTTTTGTGTGCATGTGGGCAGCTAAGTTGTCGTCATAGATGGAATTGATCAATTTAGCTTGATCGCGGAGCGTGCCTCAATTTCAGCTGGGGTGTGAATCGGGTGCCTTGGGATAGGTACCATATTGCTAGCCAGTTGACATAGACCGAGAGTCCCTCAGTATCTGAGCGCCCACGTTCTGCTTCGGGAATCTGTGCTTATCTTCGAATTGGAAAGTCTTACCATTTGATATTTACTTATCCCTATGGCATGGAATAATGCGTAGAAAATCAAAATGAACGAATAATTCGTCAGTTAGAAGCTTTTGCTTTTGTTAGCGCCTGCCCTCACGCCATTAAATACCGTATTCTGGATGTGAAAAAAAGTGATTCAGGAGTTCAAAACTGATCTGGAAATTCGCTTTGGTCTCTATATCGCTTTCGGTCTCGTGACATGTATTTCAAGTTTTCTATGTATCGTTGTCTTCTTGTCAACGAGGGAGTTACGTCACAAATACATCATGTTTACTGCGATATCCGTGGGCGATTTTGTAAGGCTTAACTGTCTGTTTCTTCGATTTTCACCTCTTTTTTCAGTTTCCAGTTTATCGTACCTCCTGGGACATTTGTGGAGCCCTGTAAGTCGTAGAATTCACATGAGTCCATGATTTCCATCGGAAGGAGAGATCATGGTTCTCTAAAATTGATAAATTCTGAAGAAGAGCGCATTGAAGAATTTGGAACTAGCTGATCAAGAAAATAAGCAATTTTTCAGCTGAACGGTCTCTCATTTGTGTTGGCTGGAGCGTTTCGAGATGAGGCTCTTCTTGATGACTTTTACTACAAGCGAGCAACTGGTATGGATTGCCTATTGAGAACTCCATGGGGTTTGATGATGGTCGTTGCTGGTACGTATCCCTTCCTTCTTGTGTAGAATACTACGAAATGATGCATTCTTTAATTTAGACAGCAAATTACGCGTCTTCTCATAGCAGCGTTTTGATTTCCAAAACCCTTCACATCTCGTGAACTCTGCCAGTCCAAAGGCACATCCAGCGATTGAACACGTTTGAGTTATTGCATTCGAAGTGAAGGTATTTGTAGTGCTTGGTCTAATAGTAATGAAAGATAACACAAAAAATGCTACGAAATCTATAGATCACCCAGCACGCTGATCCTATCGGGCAGGCGACCCGTACGATCGGCGCAGGGTCAACCCTACGTTGCGACAAGTGCCAACGGGGGTCGTATTTTGTTGAGTTTGTAGGAGGGGTTGTACTTGCTCCAGTCGCGCGAGCGACATCATATGTGAAATTGGAGTGAAACTGGAATTTTGTGTGAGAGCGCGTGGGAAAAAATTTGCGGTTTCACAGTGCCTAGAGGAAAACTAAGCTGTGTGGAGTGATCTGAGAGCAGGGTCAACCGGAGGAGCGGGGGGCCGTATTTGGGGTGAAAAAGGGGGTCGTATTTCGCGAGGTAGCGTTAATGTTAAAGTAAGGGAAGTGATGATGCAGTTGGTTGGCGCGCTAAAATTTTGCAGTTCCAAGTGAAATGTTTTGCAGTGGAAATATGGGTGAAAGAGAGGGAAAGAGGGAGGATGTTTGCGGTTTCGTGGTAGGTTTCCTTTCCCTCTCCCCTCTGGCTGGATGAGTAATTATTAGAGGAAAAAAGTGAAGTGGCGTGCTGATTGGTCCAGAATCGAAACTAATAGAATTATAGAATGAGCCCCATGGATGGCGATGGTAGGCACGAGGGTGGTGAAGGGTTTGACCTGAGGGATAATAAAAAAAGGATAAAGCATTTGCCGTTGATCAATCCCTTTTGGGATGCGGCACGCATTCTACTTCCATTTGTACATTCGTAGTGGCATTTGAATGCGATGTGGCCTATACAATGACTTGCGGGGGCCAGCCGATGTTCAAGTCAGTGTTTTTATCCTCCCAGACAAGTCTGGTACCAATTAACCGACCCCGGAGGGATGGAAGGCTTGGTTGGCCCGGGCGACTCACGACCCAGGATTTGATCCCCGGACCGCTCGCGTGGTGAGCGCGCCACTTGTCACTACACCACTTCCGCCCTCCGAAAAATAACCCTGAGAAAAGGTGCTTAAAGCCCTAGAAATCAGTCCAACGTGACGGTTGACCCTGTCTGAGAGCCAACAGTGAGGGCGGTGAGCGGTAACAGGTGGTGGTGAGGGGGAGGGGGGGGGGGTGAGAAGAAGGCGGCCGTAAAATTTTTTCAACAAGTCGCAGCGGGTTAAGGTTGACCCTGACCGCGTGCCCGGCTGCAACGGAATTCTTCATGGAAACTCAGGTGAAGTGGAACGCAATCCCTGCTAATGTGATCGGTGTGCGGTGTGGTTCGATAGGTGTTAGACTTTTTTTGTTCTTTTTCATTATTGACGGACCAAGTACCATAAACACGTTCGTTTTCGAGTGCATAACTCCTAGCTACGATCGCGGATTGCGCCTTTTAATTAGAATTCACGAGAAGGTGGAAGGTCGAAGAAGGAAAAGCTCACTTATGGTTAGAGGGCTGGTGGCGTAATA